TATATATTACTCAATTTACAAACTTAAAATGCAAGATTTAATAGACCTCAGGGCCGGCCAGATAGCTCAGTGGATTAAAGCACCTGCTTAGGCAGGGGCCAATCTATCCTTGGCCTGCCGTGCTGGCCCCACCCCCATGGCCTGCTCTGTTGGCTCTTGAGACTGGGTGTGGTGGCTTATGCCTGTAATCCCAGTACTTGGGAAGCTGAAAACAGAAGGATCACTGTGAGTCCTATCTGTGTAGCAAGACCTGTAAAACCTTTTACTAAATGCATTTTTAAAAAAAGAGAAAGATTTAATAGACCTTAGCACATTGATAGAATTGTACAACCACAAATATAATTAAATTTAGGTTATTTTTCCATCCTAAATCAAAGCATTCTACCTACTAGATGGCATCTCCCAACCTCTCCCCCATAGATTTAAGTAACCACTGAGCCACTCTGTCTTAATAGATTTTCCTGTTCTTGGAGTTTTTCTTTCAAAATAGACTACACTCACAACAAAAATAAAGACCGTAACATATCCAAAGAAATGTAAACCCTGTAAAGTGAGCCCTCATACTGTATTAATGTGAAACCAGAGACTGACAACAGGAACATACTTGGAATATAATTCCTATTTTTTCTCTTTTCTTTCTTTTTGCAGAATTGAGGTTTGATCTCAGGCCCTTGCACTTGCCAGGCAAGCGCTTATTCTAAGCCATCTCCCCGGCCCGTTTTTTCTTTTTTGTCTGTTCGCTTCCTGTAAAACTTTTGATACAAAGGAAACCATACGATGTATAGTCTTCTGTGTTTGATTTACTTCACTTAACATTGTGGTCTCAAGGTACATTGATTTTCCTTTAAAATGCCTCGTCTATTTTTCTCAATGGCAGAAATCCTCTGCTGTATGTATCACATTTTCTTTATCCATCTGTTGATGGACTATTCTGAATTGTGCTCCCATAAACATAGGTACACAACAGTACTGTGGTGTGATGTTTTTAACTCTGGGGAAGATACCCAAAGGGTGAATGGCTGGGTCAAATGAAATTTCTAGCTTCAGTTTTTTGGGTAATCTCCATATTGATTTCTATGGTGGTTGTATCAGTTTACACTCCTACCAAAAATAAACAAAAGGGTTCCTTTCTTTCTACAACCTTGTCAATATTTTTAATTTTAATTTTTTCATTTTATGTATTTGGTACAGGGTGTCACTATGCAGTTCAGACTCATAGTGATCCTATTTTCAGCCTCCCCAGTGCTGGGATTACAGAGGTGCACCACTGCGCTTGGACTCGAATCACTGGCTCAGTGTGCTGCAAGGGTGGGGCCGGCACAGCAGGCTGGAGCAGGGATTGA